CGGTTCATGTGTAATCATCTCTATATTTTTTAATTATTTTATTATCTTTCATCTGAAGATACACGCACACTACGTTATATTCATTATTTCTTTGCTTGTGTTAATCAGGTTTTTGGGCTCGTTTATGATCTTGACTTATTCAACATAATGGCCGTTCCAAGTTTTAACATGTTAGATTCTACTCATTCCTTTAATAGATATTTTCATACACAAAAATATAAAGATACTAATGGAAGTTCTACTTATTGTTATTGACAGGACTGCTTTTGAAAATAAGAGTATGAATGTACGATAAAATCTGATGCACCATTATACTCTTACATATAGTGGAAGTTTATGCCTCATTACTATATTTAATATTTATTTTTGTATATATTTAATTCAAAGCTCGTTTTGGCATAACTTAAACAACAACTAATGGAGATTATGCTGCTATTTTTATTGTGATTGAGCATGAGGTAAGCCATAATTTGCATGAGTTGTGTAATTGAGTTGTTGGATTTACTTGACAAAATTTTTAAACTCCCGTGCAAGTTTTATGTATATAGTATTGTTTTCATATATAAATTTGTTGTAGTTTCACAATTGTGCATGAAACATTTTAGCAAACATATTCATTGACTCTATTAAGACGAGGTATTTTTGTCCTTATTGTGACATTGACTTTATGAATTATTGAAATTGGTGATGTATTTATATTACTACAATTTTCATAGTACTTTAGGTGGTTATATTAATATTCCTTTTATTTTTTCAAAAATACGTTTACATTTTTGTATAGCATTCACACACACATTTTTATAGGAAAAAATCAGAAATAAAAAGCAACTAAAAATTAATAAAATAATATTTTTGATCCATAGATGTAATTCTTAGAATGCCAAAGTGTGGAGATTCAAAAAATACTGTAAAACCTTCAATTTTTGTATGATAAATTTGTTTTGAATTGATACATGAATGATTATTGCTATGTGAGCGAATTCCAGAGTGACATGTTGGGATTGGTTCCAGGTTAGCTTAAGGGAAGGTATCACTATTTTTCGGGATTAGGTGAATTAGGCGTTTCATACTAAATTGATCATAAATATTTTTACATCATATAGCTGAGAGACATATTAAAATTTCATTCTTTCTTATTTTCAAGAATTTTCATATGATATGAAAATTATGCTGTAAAACAAACAACTGATGTTTTAACTCTTACAAATTATTAGTTTGCTCAGGTTTGTACAATTATATTAGTTTAACCTATATGCTTACTAATATGTGATAGCTTCATTTTGCTCGGATTCTTGAATCATACATTACTCTTTTCGCAATTTTCGAAGATGTTGGTCCTGTGACTATCTTGTTAGACCTTACTCATACATTAAGGTCAAACACAATATCCTTAAAAATATTTGTTGTTGTGCTTTTCAACTCAGTATATTATATTATTAATTTATTTTTTCCATATTTTTAAGGCATGAATCTATACTTTAAAACGCACTATGGAGAAGCCATGAAATGTGAGGACTTATTTGCTGAGAAATATATTGATCTTTAAATTAAAATAAAGTAGTTGATTAGACCTGTTTGTATGTGCAGCTTGCGCGCATTACGAGTACTAGTGTATATATATATAATTATTAATGCAAACAAAGTGGTGCAAAATATCACAAACACAAGTGTGTCACTATACTCGTACAAATATTAATAAAATATTATTTTTGCATGAAACACCACACGTTATTATTTATATGTCGTACCTTATTTTGCGGTTTTTGTCGATTTATTTAATATATATTGTTAAGGAACATTAAAGATATTATTTTTTATAAGAATTTTTTATGCGTTAAAACATAATATTGTACCAAACTTAAACTTCTTACAACTACAAGAAATTATTTTATGGGAATAATTATATTTGACAACATGATTCTTCATTTTAATTTTTTATTTAAACAATGGGGTATACAAACTCGCATCATGACTCAAAAGTTTAATTAAAGTAGAAAGCACTAGAGTACTTGTATTGCTCTAAAATCAGTCTTCACGTCATCCAATCGGTGAGATTTAATCAAGATTTCAAACCATTCAAAGAAGATCCGCAAATTATTCTTAGACCTGACATACTTTTTGATGACACTATTTATTATTCGTTTCGTTGTGTTGTATTAACATTTGCACAAAAGAACTATCGACCATATGCTAATGCCTATTTTTCTTTAACTGAAAACATTATTTTCAACTAGTTATTTTCCACAAGATCATACTTCATCAATATTTCATATCATTCATGCAAAAACTCTTATTCTTCTTCAACTTCATATATATACATTTCTTAAAGTCTCATGCAAAATTTTTAAAATTTTAAAATACAGTACTCAAATATATTGCAATCTTTTGATAAATATCCCATAAACATAATCTATAACGAGTCTCGAGCAATCTTGAAACTAATGCACTTTTGATAGTATAATCTTGATCAATCAAAATAGTAATTGGTTTTTTTCCACATGATCCTAGCAATTTTTTCAAATAACCATTCAAAAGATGGAATTATCTCATCATATAGAAGTACTGCATAAGTTTGTCTGTGATGATTAACACAAAAAAATATAATGTTTTTTCTTATTCTTTTTATACATAGTATGGAAACTAAATACATCTCTAAAGTAAACATAATCAATTTTCATTCCACCATCTACCAAAAATATATTTGTTATTGTATCATCTTCAACAATAATATGAAGAATTTGAATCTTTGTGTTGCATTTCTTGCAAATATTCAAGTACTTCTTATTATCTCTAACCTTCATACGTAGACAATTTCTGTAACCTTGACTACTATATCTTTAACTTTCTCAACTACTAGCCCTTTTAATCAAAATATAATCGTAGCTTTTGGAGAAATTTCCGCACTTTCAGTCATATCGATTTCAATAGCATGAACTTTATCTATATTTTTATGTGCTCTAAATAAATGAGTTTTGTGTGGACTAGTAAGAGGATGGGTATGCTATTTGCTGTAACATTTTGAGATTTACCTTCTATATTTTCAAAATCCAATTTATTCCCTCCGTTCAAATCATATGTAATCATTTTGCTATTTTCGTTTATTTAACTCAAATGTATCTGTTTTCATTTTTAGTAAAAATATTTTTTACTTCAATAAAATATACCCACATATATTACACAATATTATAAAAATGCTATTAAAGAATAAGTGTGTTTAAGGGAAAAATTGTTATTTATTTTTTTATTGTACTATTATCTACAAAATACTAATATACTAAAAAATCTATATACGAAAAACAAATGAATACATATGACTTGAACGAAATGAGCATATGAAGTTGAAGGTTTATTAATCATTAATTTAAAAATTAAGTGGTTCCAAAATATGCGCATGAGCGGCCGGGAATGAGTACCTATCCCTTACAGGAATCGAACCCGTGTCTTCGACATGAAAAGGATCAAAGTCAAGTTGTACAGCCTTGACCATGGATTAGATGACATCAGTAAAGAATCAAAGCCTATCGAAAGAGTAGTCAAACTGGTTCAGGTAGCTCAGATGGTTAGAGCAAAGGACTGAAAATCCTTGTGTCAGTGGTTCGAATCCACTTCTAAGCGGGCGAAGGGTCCAAAGGTCGCAACACCGGGAGCAAGCCGGATTTGGAAATTCAAGTTCAAGAGTCAGCCAGTAACATAAGAACATAAACCAATTAGAAATGAAACTTCAACCATGAAAGTGATCAAACAAAGTTTAACTATTCAATCAATTTCCATCTACCACAATTTTTGAAATATCATAAAAGCATATTACAAATATCATAAATAACCTTCCGAATTTCATAGATACATTATACAAGAATAATCAACTTCAACTCACTGGGCAATATAATAAGAATTTCAACCCTAAAATCGATTACTAAAATATAGCCTATTATTATCGAACAATGCTTCTAAGTTTAAAGAAAAACATTATAATCATGATAAAGAAACAAATATATACCTTGAGAATTTGATTCAGAAAATTTCAAACAATAAAATCAAGCATTTACAATATTTCAAAAATAAATAAGAAATAACAACACTACAAAATCAAACAAAATTTTGTAAAACAAAAATCAACTTGAGATTTTTTGTCAATTTTTGAAAAATTTAATTGAAATTTATATTTGATTGACCTGAATTTTCGTTAGAAACCTACTATAAGTAGAGGTCTTTTTCGTGCACTCTTTGTTCAAGACACCATCGTCATTGCATGTTGGTTGTCCATTGTGTTCGAAGGGCTTGTTTTGTGAGCAAAGAGAAACTGCGTTTGTACTTGAAACTAAAATATAGTTATTCAATAAATAAAATTTTCATAAAAATAAATAAATAACCTGATGATATTATATTATTAGAAGATACAAAGAATACTATATATAATAGGTCAACTTAGAAAAACCTCTAACTACCTGTATAAAAGTGACTGTCCATAAATATTTTCAAACAAAAAAAGATTACACAATGACTTCTACAATATTAAATAGAATTCTAAGGCGTGGAAACTATCTCGACTTCACGAGACCAAACGATATTACTATATAAATTAAAGTCATCGAGCATTATATTTATATTGTAAAGCCTCGGGTTATTATAGAAGCCATCTATTTATGTTTCATTATAAATGTTCTTGAACATATCTGTATTTTTATTTATTTTTTTTTATATATTTTTTAAAATTTGTTTTATTTGCACTATATATTTTATATATAAAAAAATAATATTTAGTATTGCTTAAATACAATAACCAAATGAAGATCTTCTCAACCCTAATTTCTAAAATAGTTCATAGTGATTGTATCTATGTATATGCATGTATGTTATATATAAACACCCTGTATATCTATCTATGCATCGTGTGTCTGGTCTGAACATATAACATAACACGACAAGTCGATATCCACCACAAGTAACGACTGTAATAAGACACACAAATAACAAAACACAGACATATATCCACCAAGAAATTAAACAAACAAACAAACAAACAATTTCCTAAAAGAATATATCAAAAGCCCCAACAAACAAATAATTCCACAGACTGATCGATCCATATATGTTCAATTAAATTCCATCCATCCATCCATCCACCCGATCATCATCGAATCAATCAACACAAATCATATTTCAAAACCCCAAAAAAAAAAAAAAAAATGAGAAAAGAACCATGAAAAATTACTGCAGATTAGACATCAGAAGGAAGGATCGAAAGAAAAAAAAAAAATAAAGCCGTCGAAAAATGAATATAAAAGATACCGGAACAACCCTGCCGATGCGCCGCCGCCGTCGCCGCCGCAGTTTCGACCCGGCCTTATTTATGGCGCGGCCGATACCGAACTAATTTCGCCTTCCAACTGTGTTTCCAGATCGATACAGCTGTCGTAAGTATCGTACGTATGTAGTCGAGGCCGGGCTACTACGGAGTCTGACCCGGAGGCGACGCCCGCGACTCCATTGGAGGCGTTTGGCTGTCGGAGCCTCGCTGCGCGTCGTCCGACGACTGTCGTAACGTGTCGTCGGTGTCGCCCCTGTTCATGTCGTCGATCATTTTCAGCACTTCTTGCATCGCGGGCCGTTGTTCCGGGACCGTCGCGACACAGGCCATCCCGATCTGGAGAAGCTGGACCATCTCTTCCTCTACATTGTGGTACCTCATTAGCTCGACGTCGAACACCTCCGCCGTCCATTCCTCCCGCACGACACTTTGCACCCATCGCGGTAGATCGATTCCTTCTTCGCCTAAAGAGGCCTGGTTTGGCGCTTTCCCCGTCAAGAGCTCGAGCAGCAGTACTCCGAAGCTGTACACATCGGACTTGAATGTGACTTTACGGGTTTCGAGCACCTCGGGGGCTCGGTATCCCATGATGCGATGATTGGGAGGGGTCGAATTCGAGAAGAGGGAATTGAGTCCGTAATCTGATATGCAAGAATCGGCGTTGTCCTGTCTGAGGAGGATGTTCGAAGACTTGATGTTCCCGTGGACTGTGTTGCCGTTTGCGTGGAGGTGAGCGAGCCCTCTCGCCGCGCTTAGCGCTATTCTCAATCGGTTGTCCCATTCCAGCGGTGTGCGCCCCGAACCTCGATTACCTATATATATATATATCGTTTATTCAAACTGTAAGTTAAGCTATCATCGCAATAGTAACATCCACAATTTGTCACCAAGAAGATGCGCCACAATGTGCACGGATTTAGATTGTTTCTATGAGCAAACCACAAGGGCTATCGTAAATATGTAGTAAAACCAACTTAAAATGTTCGATAAAATTTCAAGAATGGAAGGAGAGAATCACTGACCCATTTTCATTCATTTGACACTATTGATTTTTGGAAAAACATCACATCAAATATATTTTTTCTCTCATAAAATATTAATCAAATACTAACTTTTTACTTTTGCCAAAGTTCTAAAATTCCAAAACTCTTCAAAAACCTCCGTCTAAACGGAGTCGATGACTTTGCTCGAAAGAGAAGCTGTTTTCAAGGTTTCTCTTTCATGTCACAACACAGGTGTCTTGACTACTATCATGTCTAACTTAATGTAAATGAACGTAAAGATTCAATGGTACTAAATGACCATCTCACCTAAAAGCTTTAAGTTATCAAAAAATTGTATCATTAATTACACATTATATAATTTTCCAACACGCCCTTCACGTGCAAAGTGGATTTTAACACGTCCCTTCGAATAATTCACAAACAAAAATTGGAAAACGATCTTCACCATTCAAAGAAAATACCTAAACATAGAAAACTACTATACAGATTGTTCTAAGATAAGATTCCTAAATCAGATACTATGGGTTTGTTTCTTTTAACTCCAAACCCAAGCTTTTTACTATTTGAATTCTGCTGAAAAAAATAAATTTTTTTTTCTCATAAAACATCCCATCATACATTATTTTAATATCAAACTCAAACCAAAACTTTCCAAACTCCATCAAAAGAAACATACCCTACTTCTATAGTTCTTCTTCTTATGTTCGATCTATCTAGAAAAATAATACATTTTCAAATAGAGGATCTAAATGCAAGTCTATAAAAACAGGAATGGGCAGACAACTAGCTTCCTCCAGGCTCATTTATTAATTAAGAAAAAAAACATCGAATGTCTGTCGCCATGTCTACATGTGCTGTGCACAGACAATGATCACAGCTAAACATGTTTGCAATTACACACAGAAAGGTTAAAATTAGGGTTATTAAATTGGGGCAGGAGCTCGTAACCAAGAAGCAAAGCAAGAAAACAATAATATACTCACTAAAGAACTTAGAAGAAAAGGCAAGCTGTCATCATTCTTTATTACAACTAATTTTCTTTTTTTTAAAAAAAAAAACCCAAAAGAAGAATCATTCTTCATTTTGTATTTAAATTTATTTATTTCAACAGATGTAAAGTAGCTGTGGCTCAAGACGGCACAAGCTGTATCTCAAAAAAGAAAATCGAATGTAATCATACTGTATACATCACTTCCATCAAGAAAATTCATATACAGAGTTTTTTTTTTTTTTTTTTTGAATTTTGTCCTAATGGATCATAATTCGAAAAAGAACATAATGATTCGAGGGGGGCCGGCCAAGAACAGAGATGCAGTACCAGTAAACAAATACCCAATTAATTATTGTTCATTACATCACTACCAATTAATTCTTCATTGACTATTTCATCTGTTTGACAGAGAAAATCGATGATATATATTCAATTACACATTGAAAAAGATCAAAACTTTCTCTCAGGTTAAAAAGAAACGATTAATAATAGAATTTCTCAGAGAAACAACATAATGTATCAGTATTATTAACACCAAGAGATTATAGATTTGGTGAAGGAATGGCAGACCAATCACCAATGTCGAAATAATTAATGGCTCTATAAATAGTCCGAACATGGCATCACTCTAAAGAAAGCTTATCTGTAAGTCAGACCCAATTGATTGGAAAACATAGCCCACAACAGCAAAAGTGAAAACAAAGAAAGGTAGGTGGTCGGCTCCCCCAATTATTGATCTTAACAAAAAAAAGAAAAAAAGAAAAAGAATCTACACCCATTCTCTCCCCTGTAATGGCGGATTGGCATTGGCTTTTATGCCCACAGCCAAATTAATTCTCAAAATTAGTGCAGTTCACAAACACACAGAGATCAAACCTCAAAAGAATCAAAAAAACAAATTTCAGGGATCTTTAGCTCTGTTAAATCTTGAAATTGCAGGGATGAACAATTTTTAGGGTTTTGATTCTATGTTTTGAAGATTTGTGAATGTAATTGTAAATATAATTCGCAAGCAATTAAGAAAAGATGGAATGATTAATGCCCAGAAAAAATTTCAGAAGCAAAATTGAAGAAGAACAGAGAGTTTGCAGAAAGCATTACCATGGAGGAGAGCTGATAAACTGCCGGCAGGGAGGTAATCGTAGACCAGCAATTTCTCGTCCTTGGAGAAGTAATAGGCTCTGAGAGGGAGGAGGTTATGGTGGCTGATGTTCCCCAGCACCTCCATTTGCTGCTCGAACTCTCTCTTCGCGACGGCGACGTCTTTCAGCCTCTTGACGACGACGGTTGTACCTTCTTCCAGCACCGCTTTGTAGCTTGTACCTACGCTTCCCTTCCCCAGCACCTCCGCCGACGCTCTCAGCAGATCCTCCAAATCGAAGCTGTAACCGCCGCCGTGAAAGAAAATCAGTTTGTTTCTCTCTGCAGCTTCGGCGGAACCGCCGGTGACGTCGTCTTTAGATGAGGATGTGCCGCCGATGTCTGCGGCGGCTCTCGACGCAGGAATTACCGGCGGTTTTTGATTGGTGGAGCTTCGTTGTCTTCGTTTTCGGAGGAGGAGGAAAATTAGGGCGAGGAGGAGGAGTAAACCGAGAACTCCGCCGGCGATTGAGATTCCAATAATGGCGCCGGTGGAGAGCTTCTTCTTTGTGCTGCTTCCTCGAGGTGGAGTGTCGGATGGCGGTTCCTCCGGCGCCGGCGCCGGAGGAGGGAAGAAAGGATTGCAGGGCGGGAGAGGACCGCCGCACAAATCGATGTTGTTGGCGAATGCGGACGCCGGAAACCGCGCGAGCGACGCCGGAATCGAACCGTTGAGGCGGTTATTGGAGACGTTGAAATCGTTGAGATTCGGCGGAGCGATGCTCGGAATTTTACCGGAGAACTGATTGCTCTGTAGAAAAAGCCCCGAGAGATGTGTGAGATTGTTGATCGAAAAGGGGATTGGACCTGAGAAGTTGTTGGCGGAGAGATCGAGCCTGGTGATGCGAGTCAACTCGGTGAAGCTCGCCGGGAACTCACCGTAAAACTGATTATTCTGCAAGTACACATTCCGCAGAAGCTTCAATTGCGAGAAATCCGCCGGAATTTCACCGGACAGCCGATTCGACCGGAGGCTGAGCACTCGGAGCTGCGAGAGCTGTCCGAGAGTGTTCGCCGGAATTATGCCGACCAAACCGACGCCGGGAAGCCTCAAATTCAAAACCGACGTGTTGGCGGCGTCGCACTCGACGCCGACCCAGGAGCAGGCGGAGACGGACGAGTTCCATTGAAGGCGATTCTCGTGGGGAACTTGGGAGAGAAACGACAGCAGCGCCTGGCGGTCGCGGGTCGGCTCGGCGGCGGCGCGGCCGGAAATCAGAGAGAGTGCAGACAGAAGCAGCAGCGGTAGGAGAACAACAGGCGTGGCCGCCATTAACGGCCTTGAGTTCTTCTGCTTCTTCTTCATGAAACGAAATGCGGAGGAGCGGCCTGCTGCACCATTTTCAGAAGTACCTGAAAGAAGCCATGGCCATGTGGGACGGAGGAGAGAGAGGGAGAGATAAAGGTTGCTAGCTGTACAAGTTTTGTTTTGTAAAGAAGAGAGAGAGAGAGAGAGGGGAAAAAGAAAAAGGGTGGGGGGCTTAAGAATTACGCATAGCAAAGAAAGCAATGATATATGAGTGTGTGTATATATATGTATGTATGGTGGGGAGGAGAGAGAGAGTGGAGGTGGGGGTGGGGGTGGGGGTGGGGAAGGGGGTGGCATATCTTGTTACTTTTTTGTACAGTATGGTCATTTTCTGGGTCTGGTTATGTACTGACGAGTACTGACATTTTATTCATCCAGCCATCGCCATTGCAATGCATTCTCGATCTCTCCGCTCTTCTTCTCCTCCTTCTTCGCTGGTTCGTCGTCTTCATCTTCTTCTTCAACTCTGCTTTGACTGACCATTCACATTTTGGCTTTTACTCTTTTCTCCTTAATAATTGAACTATCTATCAATTTGCTAAGGGTATGTTTTGTTTATATGGTTTTGAAAAAAAAAAATTGATTTATTTTGATATTAAAATAATATACCACGTAATACTTTAGAAAAAAAAAATTGAATTTTTTTTAAAAAAAATCGCAATAGTTCAAATAGTAAAAATTTGAAGTTTTGGACAAAAGAAACATACCGCCCTATATATATCACTCGTGACGGTGAGGTCACGATTATGTAAAAATCTTATGGTCATATATCGGGGTCGTGTAGGTACACGAGTGTGTATCCATAATCACGCCTGTGTAAATCTTAACTTATATTTCCATGATCAAACTCGGTCATGTGATACGTTTACACGATCTGTTTTAAATTGTTTAATTTAATTGTCTTTCTGTTTTTAATACTTTATATTAAGTTGAGAAAAAGTACATAACAAAAAAACCAATTACATACTATCGAAAAATCATTATGTACTTCAAATAAAAAAAAAAACCACAAAGTTATTCATCTTCGTGCTTGGATGATCGGGAAACAGGCATTAGTGTCAATGGTGATGTCTTATCATATTTGGGTTGAAGAAGGCTTATCATTCTCCGGTGCGCCCTGATCATCGGAAGCTGATCACCATCATCTATTGATTCATCGGCTCTATCAACTAATACATATTTATCTACTTCTACCCTAGTCACTTTTGTAACTATACTAATCATTTGTAGCGTCCAAAAACCAAAAATCATCGTGACAAAGATCGGATCATCATTTTCTTCACAAAAAATTCTAAGGCCAAAATAATATTTTTTTCGCGTCGTATTTGAATAATGGCTTCGTACATCTACGTCGATAATTTTCATTAGTTTTTAAACGATGAAACTAAAATTAATTAAAATTATTTACAATAAAATCAAATTAATAAATTTTTATATTGAAATCAAAATCAATATATTTTAATCATATTGTAACCAAAATTGTTTGAATAGCAGACAACCGGTTGGTATCTGAGCATTTCTTCCAATTAAAAAGTTGTGCTCAGTCTAGTTTTTGTTTTGAATAATAATTAAATATGGTGTTCTATTTTTAAAAAAATATTACTCCATCGTCTTATATAAAATGTCCATTTTTTCTATTTCTGTCTCTTTCAAATAATTTATCTTTTTTTTTAAAAATATAATTATAAATTTTAATCACATTTTAAATTTTACAATTTATAATTTTTTTTTAATTTTAATTAAATTATTTAGTTATTTTAATCTTAATTTATAATTAGTTTTATTATACACTAATTATTTTTACTGATATATTTCTTAATTACTTACTAATTATATTTTACTTAAATTCTTGTGTCTACAGGAGCCTGGACATTTTTTGTTTGGACGGAGGGAATAATATTTAAGAATTTGCGATAATTGTATAGTAAAAAAATCGAAACGGGACTAAAATAAATAAATAAATAAAACCATAAATATGCTAAATGACCTTGGAAAACAATTTGATTCATTAATAAAACAAGAATCAATGTAAATATATTATTAATAATAATAATAATTTCCTAAAATCCTTCCTCTATTTATAAATCCTTTTTAATATTTTCATAAAAATTTTGGGTGTATTTCTTTGGCCACTTTTAGCCAAAATCATGGTAAGATTTTGCTTTTGAATTTTGATTTTAAATAATAAAATTTTAAATTAAAATAGTTGTTTAATGTGATATAAATATGTATTGATGTGAAAAATTAATTTTTATATAATATACTGTAATAAATAAAAAATAGGTGATTAAATTAATATTTTAAAAAAATTTGAAATAGTAAAATTGAAAATCAAATTTTACAGATAAATACATTCACGTAGTAATGCACATTAGTGGTTTGTGTCAGATTAATTTATTTTTAAAAAAAAATTAAAAAACACAATGCATAACCACATTTGTATGATTGTGCAAAATTATAATAAAATAAAATAATTTAATTTTTTAATAATAATAATTTAAGAAAATAATATATAAAATTTGTAAGAAATAAAATTTTATATAATACAAATATTTATTTATAATTAACACAACTTAATACTCAATTTATATCATTATTAATTTTATAAATTTAATTTTAATATACATTTATATCATTATAATTTTTACCTATCAAATCAATATACATCAAAACCCTAAAACCCAAACCAAACTTATAAAACTAAAAAACACAAATTTGAAACTCATTCTAAAATTCAAATACAATTCAATTTTAAACTCAATTTCTCCAAATCCTTTCAAAAATACACATCCAAATTTTTATTTTTTTATTTCAAATATTATTTATACGTTATATATATTTATATTTTCTTAAAAATAATAATAAAAAATAACTAAATAAAATAAGGGTGGAGTGGGGTGGGGTCCGGCCTGAGCTATGTTTTGTCACACATTTTGAATTTGGTAGCCCTTTATGCACGTCTCACATCTCATATTATATATTTTTATTTTATAAAATAATTATATACTTTAATCAGATATTTTTAATTTTTTAAGTTTAATTAGAACAATAAATTCTACTAATATATTTTTAATTATTTACTAATTATATCACTATAGTACAAATCAAAATAATATACAAAATTACTTTTATTAGTACCTTATAATACATGTATAATGATATTTATATATAAATATAAGAGTATTTTTAATATTAAATACAAGAAAATAAAAGATAAATGTAACTCTTATTATATAGGGAGGAAGTATATAAATACAACTTATATTTGTGTGGACCGTGGTTACCGTGTTGAACTTTAAAATTCAGCACTGTGCTGACAGCACACTACATCACACGGTGTGTTGTCTGACAGCACACGGTATTACTATCGACAACATACCATATACATTCATATAATACAAATACAATATATAGACTAACAACACATGCTATAGTATATACAACACAAACAATAGTTGATTTCAGCACATCACATACTGTTATACAACACACTTGTAATTATGAACCAACAACACAAATACAACACATGAACTGACAACACGTATTTTATTCTTATAAAACATAAACAATAGTTGATTTCAGCACACCACGTACTGCTATGCAATACACTTATAATTATGAACCAACTACACCTGTCTTTATTATACACAACATGTGTTGTGTACAATAAGATTGTGTGTTATTTGTATATATTACGGGTGCTGATTTTTTTTTATATTATATATAATAAAATTGTGTGATATTTGTATATATTACTGGTGATAATTTTTTCAATTCGGCACCATAATCGTTACCATTTGTGTGATATTTAGATTGATTAGTTCCGAGAATGGAGGGGAATAATGACTGTTTGCATGGATTAGTTTGGTGGAGAAAAAAGAAAAAAGTGAATAAAGTAAAACAAAGATTCTTGTTACGATGAGGGCAATGATATAATAAATTAATAATATACATTGCATAAATCGAGAAATTGTCCAAATTTTTTTGTCCCGGAAAGTATAAATTGGTGGTGTAGAGGTTGGATTTATAACCGTGAGATCATAGGTTTAAACCCCGATGACACATGTCATCTGCCACACATGGTTCGCCTAATGTGACTTTTCCGTCGGACTTGATTTGCAGGGTATCAAGGTCGATCGAAAATTTACCCGGTGCATATTTTCGGATAGCGACTGCGGATTCCTACATTAAAAAAAAATAATAATAAAATAATAATAATAAATTAATAAGTAATAATAATAATAAAACATGAAGCAAAACAAAGAGTAGTGTGAAAGTGAAGATGTGCTTATAGAACACCCACATTGGGTTCCTCTCCACCAGAGGAAATCCCACATCACTCAAAAAATTAAAGAATATTTAATCTGTTTATCTGTTAAATATATACTTTATTATTTTTTATTATTTAAATACAAAATATTAATTTTTTTAAATATTTGGATTCCACTGCATATTACAAATATATTTATATTTATATTTATTTATATCAAATACCGTCACATTAATTTTTATATATCATAGAAATCAAAGTGTGTTTCCTTATGAGGTTTTAGTTTTTTGTTTTGATTTTGAATAATAAAATTTTGAATTGAAATAGTTGTTTGATGTAATATAAATATGCGTTGATGTGATGTTTTGAATGTGAAATTAAATTTTAGTGTAATAAAATAAATAAAAATTGGATGTTTGATTTGATATTTTTGAAAGAAAAAAAAATTGAAATAGTAAAATTGGATTTTATGTACAGAAATTCAAAAGTTATATATATTTTAATTTTATAATAACTGCATTTAATTTATATTTTTTATATTTTTATATTATATTCTTTATGTTCTACATCTAATATCTATGTTATCAGTTCAGTCATTCTCACAGTTTTTTGTCTCATTTTTTAAAAAGAGTTATATATTTTAATTTTTTATAATTTTAATTAAACTAATTAGTTATTTAATTTTAATTTATAAATGTTTGTATTGTATTATAATTACTTTTACTAATATATTTCTTATTTTTATACTAATTGTGTTACTCATAAAATTTCGAATTTACTATACATTATAAGACACAAAAGTTGGGATGAATGTAGTATAAAATATTTACTTATTGTACAATTATATAGATATATTGTTATTTAGATTTAATTTACTAAAAATAAATAATTTTGACATAAATATAAATATATATATATATTATATA